CACACACACACACACACACACACACACACACACACACACACACACACCACTCACGCACTCCAAATCGACTGAGTGCTAAAATTGCTCTCAGTTAATCCATAATATATCTCGTACATTTTACATATTGAGTGAGAGTCAACGCAAAGCCACCAAGCACATATATCATGTTCACAGTTGATGTCAACGACAGAGAGCCAAAGAATATAGAGTAAAAAAATCGATGTATCTCTAACCAAATTAAATGGTTTGAAGTGACATCAAAAAAAAAAGGAGGAACACGCTAGCGCACACATAACATACACAAAAAAATCAGCGAGAAAATCTAAAGAAAAGCAAATATTTGCTTTGCAAAGTGAAACGAAACGGGCCATTTTTGCTAATCGCCCAGGCTTACAAAACAAAAAACGATACACCATATGCCACACGATTATATTCATCAGCGTGTCCAGCGAGAGTTGATTAGCTGGACATTGCAAAGTATCTATGTGATTATGGATATAGGTGTATCGTGTGGGATCCGCTCATTTAAAGTCATAATCTGTCATTTGATGTGGAATAAACTCATCACGCGAATCACAAAACAAACACGCATATTCTTTGCAACACAAAAAAATGTATGTGCAACAACAACCAAACATGGACTTTTTTACAATCAAATTGTAATTCTTTTGATTGATTATTTCGATTGTCGCAATAGAATAATTTTTACTTACAAACGAAAACATTATAAATAAAATAAAATAAAAAAAGCCGAATAAACACGAATCATTTGCTATAATCGCTGATAGTAACATTATTCATTAACATGAAATAGTAATAAGGTGGGGGCGTAGCCAATATCCATTATCCATTCATGCAGTCGATAAACATCTTTTTCAAGTCAAAATAAGACTGCATGCAAAAACTAAATAATTGTTAACTATAAAATATTGTGATTACTGTAAAATATTTATAAACACCAAGAAAAATACTCTATTGCCAATTTAATAATAGTAATAGTTGTAATAAGTTAGTATAATAGAGCAACAATCATTTTTTACGGAGACATCAATCCGAACGATTTTTTTCGCACAGAAAAATCGGAAGATCGATCAAAAGAAATTGCAAACGCAATGGCAAGAAATGAATAATCATAATGGAAAAAATCAAATAGCAACCGATTGATGTTAATATCTCTCACGGTCTGACTGACGATTGCGATTACGTCAAATACAATTGAACATTTCAGGCATTTGCGATAACGAAACATATTTTTTGTTGACATTTCATGTTTGCTGAACGCTTTTTTTCTCGCTTCTTCTAAGAAGACTATATCACACATTTTATCATAAACCGAAATATTTATTTATGTCTTAACTATAATTGGAATTTCCAGCAAGAAAAAACGTCCAACTTAAAAGAAACTTGGTTCGAATATTTTTTCATACGAAAACCAAAATCAAAATAAAGTTGGAATTACTTCGAATTCAATAATAATGCAATAGTTCAACCATGGCACATAAATCAAAGGCCCGAAAAGAAACTGTGCAAATTTTGAAATACCAAACGCCAGAAGGTTTCAAAGAAAACATAATAATAATATATGTAGAGACAGTAGCATCCGAATTACATAGTTGAATAGAAATTTCATGAATACATACATATTTCATATTCAGTGCACAGCTGCCGATTTATTTAAGAGAGACTGTCGATGTTTATGTGCGTATTTGTGTGCGTGAACATCACGCAATCATTTGCCAATGAAAATGGATAATTTTGAGCACGCTTTTGGATTCCATTTTATTGTTATTGTTATGTAGTGTAGAAGAAATCAAAGAGAATATTGGCATACGATCCATCTGCTTACGCAGCGTGTCTCTCGCACTCACTCTCACACACTCTCAATCGCCCTCTCTTACTTTCTTCGCATAATCAGTATTAACATAAATAGAATGACTTATTGTCATATTTATGAGTCATCATGTACTTATGCTCTTAAATTGCGATGACTGTTCTTGTTTTTTTCCTTCTTCGAATGGTTGTTCCTCATTTCATACAAAAATCAAGGTTTTTTTTAGTAAATCCAAAGTAGTTGATCGTTGTCAATATTTATTGTACGGGTGAGAATAAGTCAAACATTTCTTTCCGAAAAAATTGAGCAAAATCATTTTTTTTTGTGCTTGAGCCGTTTGATTGCTTGAAATATTGAGATGCTGGAAATTAATGTATCACCTAAAAAGTGTGAAATAAAGTTTCGGGTCAATCTTTATAGATTTTGTGTAGACATTGAAAAGCCAGGCCTTGGTTAAGATGTCACATTTCAAATAGGTCATTGCGATAACGTCTATACAGTTCTTGTTTATTACTTTTGACAATATTTATCTCAAACTTTTTACGAAGAAATATTGGACGCAAACAATTTAATTTTGAGCGACAACAGAGCACATACAAGCAGAAAGAGTGTGAGAAGGGAGAGAGAAAAGTACCAAGATCAGAAGAAACCCATTGGGACCAATTGAAATGAATCCATTTAATGTGAAATTGATGCTTTTTTTCGTAAGAAAAGAACACAAAAAAACGTTCAATGTGAAGCCTCCTTTCAGTCATTTTTTCTGAATTAATTCAAGCAAAAAAAAAAGAGATTCATCTCCGGCGGTTGTACATATCGATGGTCCATTGACTTTGACACACAAACAAGGTCTCTTTACGAATCAGAAGGAAAAATTAGATGCTTTTATAAGAAATATTTTTGTAGTCGATTTCATTTTGGATTTAGAGGTATATTTCGTAACGTTTTAGTGTCGAAGATGAATAATCGATGAGACATCTGTAAATTGTGTGTCCAGTGAATGATTTCAAATCTACAGTATGAATCAGATTTTTACGTTGTTTCGATGTCTGGTAATTTAGATAGTAAATCACATCAAAACCAAGAAGTCCACAATGACTCTTCAGTTCAACGGATGTCTGTGTTTTTGGTTTTTTTTTTTTGTCGTGGTCAATTGAAAATAAAAAAAATAATAATTTTGCAGATTTTCTTTAACTAGTAATATTTGTATTTTTTCTGCCAATTGAATTTTTTGCTATGTTATTTGAAATTAAAGTCGTGTCGTAATTCCATCTGGAAATCGTTGGCAAATTAGGAAAATCCATTTCAGTCGTAATGGCATGATTGTTTTTTTTTTTAAATTTAATTCTTGAAACGAACAAACAAAAAATATTGAATCGCATCTTCATGTGCTCGTCGCTGTTTCTTCTTTCAAATTTCTCGGTAGCTTTAATCAAAATCAGCTTAGGGAATAGTAGCGAATGCACACACAAATTGCAAATTAGAAATAGTAATTACAGTGAAAGTTGTCGGTGAGTTGTGAATTGGTTTGGCAAAGTTATGTTTGTTGCGGCATTGCCAATTTTCAATGGAAATGCGCTACTTGCTGCGCTGCAAAACATGCAAATATTCTCAGACAATTGGGACAATTAATTTGGTAGTGTTTGCAGTTTGTCTATTTCTCTTTCACTGTTCAAGTACAAACAGTTTGTTTATCTGCATCCAACACACTTCATTGCCAAATGCATTGTGACGTGAACAGAGCGATAGAGAGAGAGAGAGAGAGAGAGAGAGAGAGAGAGAGAGAGAGAGAGATAAAATGGCAACGAATACAAATTTCCCGTCAAGACAGATACATATGCCGCTCATATTTACCATAATATTTCATCATTTCATTATTTAGCATGTAACAAACTATTTTTTACACAATCAGAACTAATGTCAGTTGTATTTTTGTTTCATTCACAGACTTCCGATGAAAATGGAAGAATTGACATTGTCAACGTCAACATCATCATTATTATCATCATAGATTGCCATTAGAATAAGTGGAGTTTTGTTGACACCAACACCTACATTGATACGAAGAGTGGCTGCCCGGAGAGCGATTGAATTTATTTTCCGTTCCTCTGCTTTGCTCTTTATTTAAATTTTAAAACGAAGTTAAAGTAACTTAAATTAAACAAATAAAAAAAAATGGGAAACAAGTGTTGCAGTAAACGTCAAGATCCGGACATTGGTTGTCCTGGTGGCAAGAAAAATGATTTGTCAAGTATGTCACAACAGAAATATAACAATGGTTCAATAGACTCAAGATATACACCAGATCCAAATCGGCACAAAGGTGTTGGAGCCGATTTCATTCGTATTCGTCAACCGACACGTAAGTATTTCTTAGCGCACGCATGCACGTGCCCTCGTTATCTTCTACGTGTGTTGGTGTTTTTGGACACATTACAGTAACTGAATTTAGATTTTGCAGGTCACATGAAGCGGCGAGTTGTGATTGCATTGTATAATTACACGGCACGCGAAGATACCGACGTGAGTTTTGTGAAGGGTGATCGAATGGAAGTGCTCGATGATACTGAATCAGATTGGTGGCGTGTCATTCATATAACCACACGGCAAGAGGGTTTAATCCCATGGAATTTTGTTGCCGAAGAACGAAGCGTTAACAGTGAAGAGTAAGTGCAGTGTGCATGCTATTAAAAAAAGAAAATCGCTTTTCAAATGTGTTCTCGTGTAACTAACATTAAGTGTATTGTTTTTTTTTCATAATTTTTCGTTTTAAATTTTAAAGTTGGTTCTTCGAGAATGTGTCACGCAAAGAAGCCGATAAACTTTTATTAGCCGAAGAGAATCCACGCGGAACGTTTTTGGTGCGACCGTCAGAGCATAATCCAAATGGTTTTTCACTATCTGTCAAAGACTGGGAAGATGGCCGTGGTTATCATGTAAAACATTACAAAATCAAGCCATTGGACAACGGTGGATACTATATCGCAACAAATCAAACGTTCCCATCGTTACAAGCTTTGGTGTTAGCGTACAGCAGTGAGTAGCCAAACAATGTTCTTTTATTTCAATTTCGATTCATTTTCATTGGAAATTGTTCTCTTTTTTTTGTTTACAGAAAATGCATTGGGCTTGTGTCACATATTGTCACGGCCATGTTCAAAGCCACAGCCACAAATGTGGGATCTCGGTCCAGAGTTGCGTGATAAATGGGAAATTCCACGGTCCGAAATTCAACTGATTCGAAAATTGGGCCGTGGCAATTTTGGTGAGGTGTATTATGGTAAATGGCGTAATAATATTGATGTTGCTGTAAAAACATTACGCGAAGGTACAATGTCAACGCAAGCATTTTTACAAGAAGCTGCCATTATGAAAAAATTCCGTCACAATCGTTTGGTTGCCCTGTATGCGGTTTGTTCAACAGAAGAGCCAATTTATATTGTTCAAGAGTATATGTCGAAAGGCAGTTTATTGGACTTTTTACGCGAAGGTGATGGTAAAAATCTACAATTTGAAGATTTAATTTATATTGCCGCTCAAATTGCATCGGGCATGGAATATTTGGAGTCAAAGCAGTTGATACATCGTGATTTGGCCGCCCGTAATGTGCTCATTGGCGAAAATAATGTGGCAAAAATATGTGATTTCGGTTTGGCACGGGTTATAGCTGACGATGAATATTGCCCGAAACAAGGATCACGTTTTCCAGTTAAATGGACCGCACCTGAAGCCATTATTTATGGAAAATTCTCCATTAAATCGGATGTCTGGTCGTATGGTATTCTATTGATGGAACTATTCACCTATGGTCAAGTACCATATCCTGGTATGCATAGCCGTGAGGTGATTGAACAAATTGAACGTGGCTATCGTATGCCAAAACCACCGAATCATCATCTTCCGGACGATATCTACCATTTAATGTTGCAATGTTGGGATGCTGTGCCCGAAAAACGGCCAACATTTGAATTTTTAAATCACTATTTCGAAAGTTTTACGGTAACATCTGAGGTTCCATATCGAGAAGTACAGGATTAGGATATTGTTGTTTTTTCATAACGGAAACGCTTTTTTGCTGCCGCTGCCACCATCATCGCTGCTGCCGCCAATATACAAAAGTCACACATTTATACAAACACAAATATATTCACATACACACACACAAAGAGGGAGAGAGAGAGAAACAACAGACACACATCCAGACAATTATCCGTTTTGTACATCGGTTTCCTTACTCGCGAATTCGTTTTACCATCGTCGTGCGATGCGGGTCGCGGTTAGACCCCCATGATGCAACATAAGCTCCATACAATACTAATGCAACCGAATCATTTTTAGCATATTTTTTTCCACTTGTTTTATTCAATAAATATCACCATGAGAGAGAATCATTCGTTTGCTATTGTAACATTCGGAATCGCCAACAAAAACGAAACGAACAAACAAACAAAGCCGTATTTTATACTACGAACTTTTTATACTGTACACACGTATTTATTATTTAGTAACGTTTGAAGGTGAAAAACACGAGACAAGAAAAATCAGTTCGAGTTCCGAAATTTCAATAAGAATAAGAATTGCAAAATTCAATAATACATTCTTTTTAGATCAAACTTAAAGCTTTATCGAACAAATTGAACTCCAGTCAATGGGAGTGAACTTTTTTTGTAGCGACAACCGAACAGTACGAGCAAATCATTTAAATTAAGACAGTTCAAACTTAAAATGGAGCAAGTCAACCAAAAAAAATATCGGTTTGCTAAAACAATGATTTCTCACAAAACTATTCGTAGAAGAAAAAAGAAATTTAACTCAAAATCACGAATATATTTAAATACGATTCAAGTAGAAAAATTATAATAATATCACCGAACTGTTTCCAAACAATAAAAAAAAATGTTGACATGTTTAGCGTTTATATAATTTTGTACTCATTTCACAATGATTGAAATGTAAAGAGAAAAAAAAACAACCATTCAACGAGTCGCCAAATAGAAAATAATGAACTATTTAACTGAAACGAACCGAAGAAAATACGAATAACAAGCAAGAACGAAAAACTACCAAACAAAACACAAAAAAAAACATTGTACTCTCGATTTGCTGATCATACAAATTTGAAGCGCATAAAAATACAAATCAAGCAACACCGACTTGCTCAAATGAAGGAAGACAAAAAATGGCAGATGAAGAGAAAGAATTAAAACCGACTAACAAATACATTTGATCAGTTCCTGATGATGATATAAATTTAAATAGTTATTAAAAAAAACACACACACACAGTAGATATTGTACTTCGGTATTTTAACATTTGTACGTAGGCAAATAAAAACAAAAATGAATTTTACATAAAAACACACATATACCACAGAACAACAAGGGAAATACGAATCAATTTATAATTTAAAAAAATGATATACAAATAAACGAATGAACACCCGCATATTTATATATATTGAGAGATGAAATGTTGACATTTGATTTTGATCCCACACAAATTTAAACCAAGACAAAGACAAACAAAAATCAATTTGTAGAATCGTCCAATCCAGTTGCATGCACACAAAATAAAAATAATAACACATCTTTGTTTGAATCTGAAAATAACGGAATTACGTGTCTATTCGAATTGAAATTTGAAAAATAATCACTTCTTTTTCGTGTTTCAATCGAATGTTTAAATTATATTTAAAAAAAAATTCGTCCCAAAACCAAAATTCAAAATTAACTGCTGGTTTGTAATGGAATACAAAATTTACTCGAAAATTATCATTTTCGTTTCTATTTTTTAAATAGTTTAATTTAATTGCTCCAATTAGTGGACGGCAATTGTATGCATGAAAATTTTGTCCAGAACAAAATAAAATCAAATGTGCAAAATGCAAAGTATATAAAGAAAAACTCGTAGAAATGTAAGAAACCAAAAAAAAAACCGAAAGAATTGAAGAAAACAAAAGTGGATATTTATACCAACATGATTGTTAATTTTTTTTTGCTAAATGTGGAAAAACCAAATAAAAGAGAGGAATGTTTTTTTTCCTGTAGAATAATATGCGATGCTATTAGTGAAAGTAAGAATGCCATTATACGCGCGTGCCGTGGAAGAATGATTCTAAAATTTAAAAAAAGAAGGAAATTTTTTTTTGTTTTTTTTTCCTCTGCATAAAATATGATCAAATACCATCGCGTTTCTCTCATATATATCTATTTTTTATTTTATTTTTTTATTTTTTTTGGAGATAACAAATGATTGAGCAACACTGAAGAACAAAAACAAAACGAAAAAAAAATTGAGTCATTATCCAAGCCAAAGTCCAAAAATTAATTATGTAATTTGTTTTTTTTTTTTTTTTTTTTTTTTTATTTGAGATTACCCGTTTCAAAGATACACACACAATCGTATTCATTCGCCTTCGAGGTATCTGCCTCCCCCCACTGTGCATGAAAAATGGCGACCAATGATGAATTTAGCTAAATGTAGAATATATATATATTTCGTTTTTCAAATATTGCTTAGCTGCCTCTTTATTATTTTACAATTTTGAAAAGAAAAAAAAAACTAAGAAAATAAACAAAAAAACAATTGGTAGACATTCGGTGTGTGATTTAATAATTGTTCCGTTTTATACATTTAAATATATCAATTCCATTTGAATTTGATTATGAATTGTGGGAAAAATTGAGCGAAATAATTGAATAGAAATAATAGAGAAAGATAGATAGAGTGACAGCTAATTGAGAGATTCCTTTTTTTGTCAATAAGAAAATGAAAATATATATATTATACAATACATCCAAATACAGAAATACAGTATTTTCAAAGAGTGCATTACATTTTTATGTTTGTATTTTTTTTTTTTGTTCGTGAGGAAAATCGTGAGCAAAATTATTTAGAAGCAGCAACAAAAAATGTGTTTTTGGTTTTGTTTTTCGTTTCCAAAAATCAAACTCAGTCGATATCAATAAAAAAAAATATAACGAAAAAAATAAGAAAATGAATAGCCTTTGTCACTCTCGAAACAAATGAATCGAAGCAGCAATTATATTTCCACACATACATACACAAACACAAGATTTATTTATATACATAATTTAGACGGAGAATATCCGCATTTTAAAAAGAGAGACTAAACTGTTTTATGTTTCCTGTCAACAACACCTTCATTACATCGCCAATTAGCAATTTTGTAAATAAATTTTGTGAAAGCCACAACCGAAAACCGAATAAGTAGAAATCAATAGTCGAATAAATAAGAAAGCACGTGCAAACCTGTATAGTTTAATGAAGAAAAAAAAATATTTTTTTTAATATGCGGGGATGACCTTGTTTTTTTCTTTGTTTTTCAAATAAATTAAAATTAGCATACATCAAGCGAAGAATGAAAAATACATTGAAATAAAATGGATAAAAAGCAATTGTGACGTATTAACTAAGATATTGATAGGAACATAGCTAAAACAAAGACAAAACGAAACAATAACAAAAAATACACTCAAATCGCGTTCATCTTTTTTGCATTGTGAATAAATAAAGACGATGAAAAATGAAATGCGCAACTGAAAGCATCAGCACAAATACCTACAACAAGACAAACAATAATAAAAAAAGACTTTGTAATTTGAAGACAAGCCACTTTGTAAAATGTACCCAAAAAAATAGCGTTAAAACGAAGATGAATAGAAAAAAACAAGCACATGACGATTCTTTAAATATTTTGTATCGGTAGCATCTATCCGTTGATGAATCTCTTGCGATACATAATTGATGCCAACATAATTCTAATAATAGTATGAAAACTTAATCGATCACTAAGCAAACACATTCATCGACACACACAGAGAACATACATTTTTGATATGAAACAATAGAACACACACAAACGAAGAACATTTCGTATAACTTTAAACAAACAAACAAAAAACAACAACAAAATAGTTGCTGCTTTTCTTTTCCATGTCTATAGTCTAGCTAAGATCTCTCTATCTGTCGTATTTTTCACCACAAGCACATACATAAGCACACATTTTCTACTCAGTTAATTGTTTAAACATTGTGAATATAAATTTGCACCGCGTGGCGTCATCGATAAATAGGCATTATATATTTCCTGAATATGTAAATATATACAGACACAAATACAATCGCATGCAACACATTCACACACCATTTTCATTTCCAAATGGAAAATTCTCTCTAGATTTATTACATACAAATTTATCGATAATGGAAAAAAGGAAGAAGAATAAGATTTCTGTTGCAAAAACAAAGCAGGACATTTTAATAGCAATTTACTGCAAACACACACACACACACACACACACACACATGCGCGTGCGACAAAAACAAACAATTTAAGACATTTCAGATGCATTGAACACATGCTATGAAATCAGCATTACGTATTTATTTAATTAAATTAATTTCGATGTGTAATAGTATAAGTTTACTTAAATAAAAAAAATGAATCACACAAACACATTCACATTATTTATACAAATATATGTTATGAAGAAAATGATGATAAAAAATGGTATGGAGTCATTCATACAACAAAAAAAACACAGACACACACAACATCAAACACAAAAATTTATTATTAAAAATTGAGGTAAAAAATAAACGAAGAAATTACTATGTATGAATTTAAAAACTGAAATAAATGTAAAACCAATTCAATTATATCGCATTTTTATTTTAATCTGTTTAGCAGTATTTGGTATAGATCAGAACTAGCAATGGTCGCATCGCCAAAACAATTGAAGAACTGAATCAAAAGAAATCTATTTAAAATTATTCTTATGCGTCTTGTCTTATTAGCTAAAACTCCCATTAAATAATAGCTAATTATCAATGCGAATAGTATCAGCGGATGCCTGTAATGGAAATTTGTGAAATGAAAAATCGAAACAAACAATTACCTGAATAAATCCGTCATGCACAATGTACATATTAAATGTAAGAGAGTTTGGAATTGAATGTATTCCATTTCGGTTGTCCGAAGTGTTTTTGATAATCCGAAATAATGTTAAGCAATCTAATATGTGTCAACGTGAACCTTTGGAGCGGTAAGTGGGAGTGCAAACGGTTATTCATTTCACTTTCTCTCAAACCATTTAAAATTCTATTTTACGCAAACTTATTCCGATGATGGTATTGCTGTGTATTATTGTTGTATTCAATGTAGTTGTTTTCCTAAGTTCTTTCCGTGCCGAGAACTGTATTAGGTAAAGCTCGACGAATTTATCTCAACGATGCATTGAAGCTCTTCAGCTTCCTTGATCTATATTTTTGTGAATGTTTTTGTGTGAATGAGTACAATTGTCTCAAGACTTATATGTGGTATGCAAACGAACGATACACGCCAACTTTTGAAACCAATTCACTTTTCCAACCAAAAATAACATGCGAAAGAGACACTTTTGCTACATACATATGGAATTCAAATAAAAATGTTCGAATTAGCCGGCTTGAAAATAATCAAGAGAGTAGGAGACACACACACACACACACACACACACAGAGAGAGAGAGAGAGAGAGAGAGAGAGAGAGAGAGAGAGAGAGAGAGAGAGAGAGAGAGAGATAAGTAGTGTATGTGTGTGCGGTGGATGCAAACGTGCAAGAAGTTTGCATTTGTTTTGGCATGTTATTTTAGCGCATAAATTACGAGCCGTGTCAGTTTTGTGTACAATGTTATTAACACTTGTAATTAAATACATCAAACATGTTTATTTGTTCCATGTTTTACCAATGTATGCATGTGTGCACCATGTTCAGTCAGACTTCTTTCAGAATTCTTCAGAATTGATGTGGAAAAGAAAGCGTTTTGGCGAAAACGATAACTCGACAATGAGTGAGACTGCAACTGAATCCGTACGTTCATTTGCAACGAAATTTGTTGTTTATATTTCGTGTTGTTGTTGCTGCTTTTTTTCTCTCTTGTTTCCTTATTTTCTTGGCGTAGTTTGTATGTGTGCGCCCGTGGTAAATGCAATACGTGCATTGCACCCGGAAAAGCGATTTAGAAACTTAACTGAAAATTTCAAGGACCAAACGAATTATAACGGCATTATTTTCAATGTGATTATTTGAACATGAACATACGCATTTATGTATATATTCACATATGTATCGTTTTTGTGCAATAACAAGAAGCAAATTCAGGCAAAACGCAGCACATCAGCGAACGTATTCATGGTATATTACATGCATGCGCTCGTAAATGGATTTAGACGTATAAATGCAAAAGTAATTGAAAATTCAAATTTAATTCATGTGAATAAACACTCAACTAATAGAAAATTTTAATAACGCATATTGCAATACCTTTTTTGGCGTAGGGTGACCTCTCAACGGGGGAATATACGCAAAACACACACGCACAAACACTTGCACGCTTGGCCCAACTTAAATTCCAGTGTGCTATTTGTTGTATAATAATTTAAGTGAAAATGTTGTAGTCGGCTGATGCCGTTCTGCCAAAATACAAATTTATTTTATTTCAATGTATTATTATTTGTCAAATCACATGAATTCCAATTTTGGATTGCAATATGACTGACCAATAATGTGATATATTGACATTTTGGCCGTACGACGATTGGGGGCGAACCACCCGATTCAATTTCAAAACCAAATCATTCGAGAGGCAGAGTAAGTTAACACCAAATATAATACATTTTTACGACAAAAACTTATCAACACATGAACTAAATATATGTACACCAAATCCAAATGTTTAATGTGGCTGGATTTTATTTCGCATTCTTTTTTATTTTGGTTCGTTGTTGTTTATGCTTAAAATTATTTCGGATTTTATTGCATGGCAATACGATTTATATCGTTCAGCTCATCCATCAGTTCGTGTGGAATATCATCCCTGAGCGGGTACGCGCTCCCGCTTGCATGTTTCGCTGTGTGCTCGTGAATGAGACTCATTTTCTATCGTTCGGGTTTTCATAATTTGTAATTGTAATTTAATAACGGAAATTTATTACGAATCGAATGAACGGAATTTTCATAAAATCGAAAATTAATTTATTTACAATTTATG